TTTACCTGTTTCATCAGGGTATTCTTAAGCAAGAGTTTTTAAACCTGTGAGATCCTGGTGATGAAAGTGATGCAATGACATAATAAAATGATATGATACAATATGGTAATTTTGCCTTGATTTATGCTAAAGAACCGATATCATTTGGCTGTGTCCCCACCCAAATCTCATCTTGAATTGTAGCTCCCACAATGCCCACATGTCATGGAAGGGACCTAGTGAGAGGTAATTGAATGATGGGGGTGAATGTTTCTCATGACAGTGAATAAGTCTTATGAGGTCTGACGGTTTTATAAAGAGAAGCTCTTTTTCTTGTCTGTTGCCATCCGTGTAAGATGTGACTTGCTCCTCCTTGCTTTCTGCCATGATTGTGAGGCCTCCCCAGTCATGTGGAACTGTGAGTCTATTAAACTTCAGTTCTTTATAAATTACCTGGTCTTGGGTATGTCTTTATTAGCAACATGATAACAGACTAATACAAGCACCAACAGTTTTACTCACCATTGCTTTGGCACCGTTGGTGCAAATGTCAATACAGTGGAAAAAACAAGTACATCTTAATATTATTATGAAAATAATTTTGACCTCATGGATCCACTAAAAGTGTCTTCGGGATTTCCAGAATTGTGCAGATTACACTTTGAAAACTGCTGCTTGCGGGGGTTTGTTTTAAAAGAACCACAGTGTTACTGTGTCATAGCTCTTATTGGCCTCCTTTGGTAAGGTGTTTCAAGAAAGAGATGAACTCAGAAAGAAATGGCTAGTTTCCAAGCCAGATGGAAAACAATAGAAAATATCCAGACTTGAGTGAACAATGGTGGAAATCCATCTGCTTCTAGATCCCACACAGAACCACAAGGCCCAGAAAGACTTTTTAGCTGAACAATATGACTTAGCTACAGATCTGATTAATAGACAAAGAGACCTGGAGAGAGGGAGAGAAAAGAGAAAAGACCTGAGAGTTGTACAAGGAAGCAAATACAACAGAAGCCTACCAAGATTTCGAAGAACTTGTATTGTCAAGAAATCCAAAATATCTGATTAAAACACCTTTGACTGTTTGACCTATAAAATCACCTTTTTGCTTTGGCTACACTCATTTCAGCTGTGTCCAAAAGGAATAAATAAACAATAAGAACTTCTAAAGGGAAAAGCTTGAGGGTCAAGCAAGAAAAAGACAAAAGACTTATTTCCAGAGAGCAGAATTAAAGTTTAATCTACAAATTTATCATCTCCCCAGGCTAGGGGATATCACGAAGCCTGCCAAACAGGATTGTAGAATTATAGTGTCCTAGTGAACATGTACATCCCCTGATTCCTTTTTTCTGAATGGAGTTTTAATTGCAGTTATGCTGTCCCTGCGCCACCACTGTATATAGAGCAAGCCCATAACCAAACTCCACTCTCCCTCCGCTCAGCTGCCTGCCAGATACAAGGGTCTGGGGGGAATTCTAAGCTAATAGGAGGTGGTGCAACCACGAGATGGAAGAAGCCTGGTCACCTGAATGAAGCAGATCCTGTCCAACCAACCTGTGCTGGATTGTGACACGAACAAGGAATGTATGTTTATTGTGCTAAACCATTGAGATTTTGATTCCAGCATTTGCCACAAACATTCTTTATTACAACACTGAGATGACTCTGAATAATACGGAAGCTATTCCATTGATAAGCTCAGAGGAACTGAACTATGGCAGTGGCAGAAATAAGAAGAAATACATATTTTAGAGGTAGAATCAATAAGCTATCACTAGTGGGATATGAGAGCAGAATGAGGTAGGGTAAGGAGTCTGGGATGTGTTCCAGCTTTCTATCTTGGGTTGAAGTGGGTGGAGTTTTGGATGGCACTCAGAACAACCCAGTGAATTTGTCCAATAGGCAAGAGCTTGGGACAGAGATGTGGAAAGCAGGCACATATAGGGCAATCATCAGCTTATAGGTGATGGTTGAAGCCATGAGGCAGGAGGAATAGTGGATAAAATATTTTGGGAAGACAATTCAGAGGGAGAAGAACACAGAGGTTGTTTAATGAACAGCAGAGAGAGCAGAGTCTGCAAAAAAGTGAAAATAAACCCTCAGAACGGAAAAAAAAAAAAAGGCAGAAAAGGATAGGTCACAGAAACCAAATTAGAATTAAAGCACACTTTAAAAACACTTTAAACACTTTAAAAGAACACTTTTAAGAATTGTGAAATGATAAAGAATCATATTTCAAAGAGGTAAAATATAATCAGAGCTAAATATTTATGAAATTTTAGAATTAAAAGACTATGGGTGATCTTCATGAAGATAATTTCAATGGAGCATTGATACAAAATTCGGATTATTATGTGATAAGTGTCTTTTGATTTTATAAATGAAAAAACAGAAGGGTTACATCTTGACCAAGATTGACAGCACATGTTGGAGCTTTGCTTTGAATTTTTGCCTGTTCAACACCATAACCCATGCTCTTCCATTCTTCCAAACTGAATCTGAAAACCTCACTTAGGTAATAGGTGGATTCAGATAAAATTTTGATTATAATCTTGCTAAAGCCAGGTAAAATAGAAGGCTATTGAAATCATAGGATTGATATTTTCAGAGAGGAAGGTGTAGAGAGGTGACTAATGTTCTATCGTATTTCTGAGAGGATTCTTTCTTTTTCTCTCTCTCCTCCCTCTTTTTATTCTCTTGAGCAGATTCTATTGATAATATTGGTAACCAGGAGTTAAGTTTTTTAACATGAATAGGTTAAATGTTATATTGTGGGTATAAATTTTATATTCATAGCACGAATATAAAAATCAACTACTTATGACTATTTACACTGGCTTAGGGACAAAGGTGGTAAGAGCTGTTGGCCACAACTATCTGATCTATATCTGCGTCTTATTTTTAACAATGGGGCTATTTTGGTTTTAGAACATAGGATGTCTGAATCTTCTAAAATCACTTCTTCCTAAAATTGTAAGGTTGCAGTTGACTGATACAACTTTTTCTCTCATATAAAACTAATTGACAAGATCAAAGACTGCAAGAGTTTGAGCACTACCTTCACATTTACCAGAGGATTTGGTGGCAATTCAGTATTTAAAGTATAATCTCCAAACAAGCTAAAAACAGAGGCAAACATTTTTAGGAGATTTATCCTATGATCTTCTTTTCATTAATAAACATAAAGGTTTATGTTACCCTAAATGCTATCATAGAACAGTATTTCAAAATAAGTACATTAGCAAATTAAATGAAAGACATGTCAAAACCTGAAGCAGCATTTATTCTTGTGAGCCAAGGTGTCTACAAATTTTGTACAGGAAATGTAACTTTTCTTCACTTGATACAGTGACATTTTGTATGTGCTGAAATTTTGAAATACTGTGCACTGACATGTTTCACGATGAGCCTTCCAGAATTTTGAGGCATTTGAGGGGACACATACTCAGTGGTTGTCTGGGTCAATACTGCCTTAGTGAGAACATTTGCACATTCTCACAATTGTAAAGTTTCCCCACTATTTTTGTGACCAATACTACTGTAAATATATTTGGCTTTTTACAGTTCACAGGGTATTAATAAGCTGCAGTACTATGTACATTTAATAAGTCATAAACAGCATTCATTACCTTGGTATATTATTAAAAATGAAATTTTGTATGAAATGAAGAAAAGTAATTGGCATTATTCGAATCCATTACTTATTAAATTTTACCTTTTTTGTACAAATGAACCTTTCTTGGCATGTACTGATTTCCTAATCTGGAATGCATGCTAACATATTTTCATTTAGATATCTTATTTTTGGTAGCGAAGTACCTTCCAATTTGGGACTCAGAACATTCAATTTAGAGTATACACAAAGTCAAGAATACATACAGTCAGCATTATTAAACATAAACCTTGATGCTGCCCGACTTTAGTTGCAATTTTTTGATAGCATAATTCAGTGTTATTTGTCCCCTTTGCATTTCTATAGCAACTATTTCTGTGAAAGTTATGTGTTTGGTTGAAATTTTCTGGAGCAGAAAAGAATCATTTGTAATTTTTATTTGAAGGTTGTTTTGCAGTGATGAGGAATTGAGAGATGCCCTTCATTGTATGCAAAATTATTTTTAAAAGCCCTCTACCCTACACATACACACGTGTGTGCACACACATCTTCATGTCCAATGTTATAGATATTAAGTACCATCTAATTACTCATATTCTCTTAAAACAGGGTAGCAGATCATAGATAATCACTTTTTAAAAATTAGTTAATTGAAAGAAGACAATCTAAAAAGAGAGAAAAAACACCTAACTCCATCCTGAAATTTCATGTTATTTTTGAATTGCATATGAGAATTTTTGTAAAAGATAGGTTGAAAAATGTACCTATTACCTGCCACTTACACATTTAATGTAAGAGATAAGGTAACATTTTAAGAGACACTATTTGGCAATACACACTACCACACAGAAAATTTAAAGAAAACAATAAAGCTTAAGAAAAAAAATAAATAAATAAACTTAATTTTGTTTCCAAATCAAGCTTATTTCTATAGCAGTTTTAAAACATTTTGTTTGGTTGTTCTCATCAAGACTTTCTATCCTATTCTAATAACTAATTAAGAGAGCCCTAAAGCTTTCTGCTTTTGTAATGTAACATTTGAAGAGATAGATTTCTAGAGAATATTTTCCAAATCTGTTATACTCTGGAAGAACAGTATCATAGCTTCTGAATTTCTTCTCAAATGTCAGTATGGTTTAACACAAAGGCAATGAAAATAGAAAACTTACATGCTGATTTTAAGTTCTACATATCTGAAATTCTTAGGCAATAAACATGTTTGTAGACAGGTAAAACTAATAAGGCTAAAACTTTGGTTTTTAAAATTAGAACAGTTACTATCTTTTATTGTCATTAGTTATATATATTAAAGTCAAATGAAAGAGCTATTTGGTAATTTTATAATACTGATTTCATTCATTAATTTAACAAGTATGAATTGATTATTTACTCTGTGACAAGATATTATTACCTATATCCCTGGATGCAGAACAAAGGGTTAGCCTCTTAATAGTTTCTGAAACATCACGATTAATCCTGGCTGTCATGGTAAAGGAAAACCATTTGGTGCATATACTGAGTAAAATTTTAAAAAACACAGAAAACAAAAACTGTATATCAATGAGTAACAAAAACTACAATTTAACTGGGTTGGGATCAAAGGTTGTAAGAGCTGTTGGCCACAACTATCTGAAAAGAAACCAAAATGTCAAGTTGACCTCTTAATGGTAACTGGGTAAATACCAAGGTTCAGTGGTTTGCTCTTGATGCACATCCAAACATTTGGACATCTGTCCAATATTTTTAGCTAGAGATTTTTACTAACGTAGTTTTTAAAAATGTAAAATATGTGACTTGCTATAGAACATTCATGGTCTATTTTTATCATATTAAATGAAAAGGTTCCATGTTTTGAATGCATTTCATTTTCTTAAGTTCATAAATGAAAGTAGCATGACATTATTTATGAGTCATTTTTGATAGCAAAAATTCCGTATTGTGAATTCAGAACTGAAGAGTAAGAGAAAATAAATAAGTTGTTACAGACTGTGATGCAGTTTGTGAAAAAACAAAATGGTTGGAGTGAATCATAGTGACTGGGGCTGGGATAAGGGTAGGAAAGAGGCCAAGAAGGACCAGTGTGAGAAGGTAACACATGAGCTGAGATTTGAAGGATGAGTCCTGGGAAGAACCAGGGAAAGATTCTTCTAGGTAAAGAGAACGAAATATAGCAATATGAGGTGAAAGGAACTTCATTAAGAAAAGTCGGGGGAAAGCTTAAACTCCCCTGAATAGGATCTTTCCGACATAGATTATTTTCTGTCAGGTGGAGAGTGCTCTGCTATGCAGCAGGACAGCCTAGGTCCAGCAACAGTAATCGACCATCCCCCAATCCCAGATGCTCTAAACCACTAGGTTCATTTCTCACTCACTCTATGTGTCCATTGCAGGGTGGCTAAGTGCTGTACTCTGCATCCTCCTCTCTCCAGGACCCACGCAGACAGAGTAGTCACTATCTGGAACACAGCAGTTTTGGTGACAAAGCAAAAAGAGAAAGCGTGGCAAATTGCGTACAGGCTCTTAAAGGTTCTGAAAACTTCCACTCACACTTCATTGGCCAAAGCTGTGACTTATCTCCAGTCAGCAAGGAAGTGTAATTCTCCAGTGTGCCCGGAAGAGGAGTAGAACTGGAAATATGAATGAGTGACAGTAGCATCTCCTAGAGGGGGTCCGTGAGCAACCTGGAATTGTGTGTACATTTGTGTGTGTGTGTGTGTATGTGTGTATGTGTGTGTCTGTGTCGGTATGCGCTTGTCTCTGGGGAGAAGATCCATTTCTTTAATCAGATTTTCAAGGGATCTGTGACACGACAACGATTAAAAACCACTGGACCAGTTGAAAACTGCCATGTAAACAGATAATTGCTATACAAGACAATTTGCAGCATGAGTGAGAGGCTGAAATGATTAAAGAATTGTGCTTCTCTGTGTGTTTGTGTGTGTGCGTTTGCACACATGCATGCTCACACATGGTGACAAGGAAAAAGCTGAGCCAATGTGTAGACTGAAATGTAGAAGGCAGAGTTCAGAGAGTGATAGATTAAAGACACCAAAGTGTGAGGGGACATGCCTGATGTAATGAGGTCCCTGAAGATGCCTGAGGAGATGGTGTCCAATATTCTCTAACTTCAGGGATTTGAAGAGATTACTCTTCTTTGACTTAGAAGAAAGGGAGGGAGAAGCTAGGTGTCCTCATGGGTCAGTTTGCTGACGGAGGGGAAGAAGAGGAGCTCTATTTTGTCTGTGATATATGAGCAAGGTCATCTGCTTAGAATGAGGGGATTGTAGAGCATGTTAATAGTTTGGAACAGCTGTAAGGGAAATCTGAAACTGAGCTGACTGGGGAGAAATAAAAGGACCGCCAGTAGCACAGAGGGCCCAGCTGATGCTGGAGAACATAGATTTGTCAGAGTGCCAGTAAATGGAGTTATGTGATTTTTCTCTGCCCATGCTCAGCTGCCTGGAAGCAGGAGTTGAGAAAGTTAACAGTTGGATCGATGCAGGGCTGGGGATTGGCAGGGCAGGTGCAGCAACATGTTTTACTTATAATTTGAAATTCAGGAGTCTGAACAGGCAAAAAGAACTAATTTTGCCTCTAATTTTAAAAGATAAGTTGGTAAATAATGGCGATAATGGTGAGAATAAGCTATATAGAGAGAGCTATCACCTGTAGTTATCCTTTGTGAGTTGCTATTCTTGCTCCCTGGAGTTCACAACTGATGTAACTACTATAACTATGGCTAAGGATAAGTAGTGTAGCTTATTTCTTATTGCTTAAGTAAAATTAATCATGCTTCAGCCACATGAGATTTGTTTTATGTTCCTAATACTCCCTTATTCCTCTGGTAAAATCTGGCAGAAGGAAGGTAAGAGAAAAAAAATTAAAGCCCTAAAAATATAATTACATACTCAGAGACAGAATCGCTTAGCTAAGCATCTTGCTATTAATTAGTACGTTGTAAATTTTGCTGCCTTGGCTGATACTAAGTCATCGTATTTAGAAGACCCATTAAATGAAGACAAAAGAAAAACATCTGGAGTAGCTTAGCTCCGAAGTAGACCTCAGGCTGAAATAGCATTGTATTGCATTTCTCTGTTCCCAGTTGCCTGCCAAATTCCCCAATTTCCCTGATTTCTGTGAGGTTACATCATAAACATTTGATAAAAAATAGTGTTGCTCTTCATAAAGGCTACATATGCACACTGAAGGCAAACACAGCCCTGATAGTAATTCTGGATTACTGAACAACATTCCATAGGCTCTGTCATTTTATTTTCCATTTCTTCAGAACAGAGGTTTCATCTCTTAAATATTGATGACTGACAGGTGAGGTGAGCAAGCCAAATGTGATCATTTAGAATTGCATTTGGGGCTGAAAGTAAATGTGACTTTTCACATCCTTCCTCAACACAAAGGATTTAGCAGGAGGCAAGCGTGTTAAAATTCTAAAAGGAGATTATTGCTGCAAATGGCTTTTCCCCAGAAGACCCTCTCTCAGAATTTCAGTTGTTGATAACTAGCAGGTTTTATCTCTAAGAACTAAGATCATTTTCTCATCACTTCTGGCCTGCCAACTTGTAGACTGTCTTCAGCTGAAGCAGTGCTGCCAGAAAGAATAACTGGAGAAGTTACTCAACTCTATTTATTTTAGAGTATGATAATTTGAGGGAAAATTAAAATTGTCAGTTTTCCATTACACCCTCAAGCTCTCAGTGCTGGTTATCTCATCAGACCTAAAAAACATACTTTGGCGGAAAATTGTGTAAACAGACAGAAAAGCCAAGAAAAATAAGGAACTAAGGTCTCATCAAGGGCCACATGGTATGTTTAGGGCAGAGCTGAGCACCTGAACATCCTTACTGATCTGACCTGAGGACTTCCTGCTGGAGTCCCAGGACAGGGAGATGTGTAAATGCTGAGTATCTGAAGTAAACACTGGGCAGTTATCTGAGGTCTGGTTATGTAAGTGGCAAGGACAATGGATTTTTTTTTTTTTTTTTTTTTTTTTTTTTTTTTTTTTTGCGACGGAGTCTTGCTCTGTCGCCCAGGCTGGAGTGCAGTGGCCGGATCTCGGCTCACTGCAAGCTCCGCCTCCCGGGTTCACGCCATTCTCCTGCCTCAGCCTCCCCAGTAGCTGGGACTACAGGCGCCCGCCACCTCACCCGGCTAGTTTTTGTATTTTTTAGTAGAGACGGGGTTTCACCGTGTTAGCCAGGATGGTCTCGATCTCTTGACCTCGTGATCCGCCCGTCTCGGCCTCCCAAAGTGCTGGGATTACAGGCTTGAGCAACCGCGCCCGGCCTGACAGTGGATTTTTAAATGTTCACATTTTGACCTGCAATGACCTGTAGCAGAGGCCTAGGGACTCTGAGCGCTCTGAGGGCAAGGACGCTGTAGAGTTCATCTTTGTATACCTGGCCCCAAGCCCAGTGGCTGGCATAAGACTAGAAACCCAATCAACGTTTAAGAAATTCTGAATAAATTCAGATCCTTTAAAAATGTCGGCAGGGCTTGGTGGCTCACACCTGTAATCCCAGCACTTTGGGTGACTGAGGTGGGCGGATCATGAGGTCAGGAGATCGAGACCATCCTGGCTAACACCGTGAAACCCCATCTCTACTAAAAATACGAAAAATTAGCCGAGGTTGGTGGCGGGCGCCTGTAGTCGCAGCTACTCCAGAGGCTGAGGCAGGAGAATGGCGTGAACTCGGGAGGCGGAGGTCGCAGTGAGCCGAAATCAGGCCGCTGCACTCCAGCCTGGGCAACAGAGAGAGACTCTGTCTCAAAATAAAAGAAAAAAGAAAAAAAAAAGTTGTCGGATCACCTCATTTCTCTACTCAGAATGCTGCAGTAGCTTCTCATTTCTCTCGAGGTAAAAGTCAAAGCCCTGACAGATCTGGTCCTGGCTGCCTCCTCTCGCTTCCCAATTCTCACCCCCACTCACCCTCCGGTGGTTCCTTATCCACAGGAGGCAGCTCCCTTTGCACTGGCTGTTCTTTAAGCCTGGACTCTTGCTCTACATACCTAACAGGCTTCCTCCCTTATTTTCTTTAAATTTTGTTCATATGTCACCTTTCATTGACTAATAGTTCCACTGTCCTTTACAAAAATTGCAGCTCTGTTACACCCCCCGCCCATTCACATGGTGATCCTGCTTAACCTGCTCCATCTTTTCATAACACCACTTTCTAACTCTAAATTACCATAACATTTACTATTATTATGTTTATATTTTGTTGTCTCTCTCCTTCTAACAAGGGCAGGGATTTGTCACTTCTGTTCAGTTATTCCCAGTGTTTCAGCCAGTGTCTGACACATAGAGGATGCTTTGCAAATAATTGTATGAATAAATGAACAAAGCTGGATTAGTGAAGCAAGTGAGTGGACGTGTCTCATGGTGAAAGAGATGCACTCTTAAAGATGGGTGTAAAGGTTAAAGGGACCATTAGTTTTGGTAAATCTATAGAGGTGTGCACTCATTTTCATATTCAAAAGCCCTTGTAATTCCAGACAAACTTTGTCAACCTCCAGACTCAAAGCTACGGACTTTCAACCTGTTAACTGTGAAGTTCTCTTGGTAAGAATGTGTGGTTCAATTCTTGATGAATTCAGACAGTGAGCACACGTGTGGATTGGTGTTTCTCAAAGTAGACTTATGAGGCCCCTGAATTAGGAACACTTGCTAAGTACTGTATTCCAATTCCCCAGCCCTATCCAGTTTACTGAGTGATTGTTAAGGATTAGATCTCCAAGTGACTCAAATGTATGCTAAAATTAGAGAATTATCAGTACATAAAAATCTGCCAAAAGTGATGAGACTATAACAGAACAAGATTCCCCTGCTGTAGTATAATTGTTCCACATGATGTTGATAAGATTGCAGTTAGAAAAATAGTGTTCGTTAAAATAATGAAATAAGGTAATACTGAATTAAATGGGTTTTTAAGTAACAGGAGTTCACAGAACCTTTAATACGCTGACATCATCATGTGTTCCCAAGAGCAGGCTAAAGTATGTAGTGTCACAGATTTATTCCATCATGAACATCTCTTTTTAGGTAACTCATTAGCTTTTGGGGTTTTTTTGAGGTTTTTTTTTTTTTTTTTTTTTCTTTAAAGAAAAAGTCTGAGCACTTCTGTTATACATAATCTCTAATATTTATTCCTGATTCTAACATTCTATAATTGTCTATATTTGTTTTCTCTCTTGTCAACTACCCTTAGTTTATAATCTAGTTGCAGCTTTTTACACCTAAGAAAAAATATGAAATAGTATTTCTATGTTTCATGGTGTCTAGGACTTATCCTTGCAAACGAGAAAGGTATTTGTGTGTGAGAGACACACACACGTGCACACACACACACACACACAGAGATTGTGAATGAGAATAAAGTAAATGCCAGTCCAGAGAGATGACACAAAGAAGCCTGTATATGGTGCACTTAAGTGAGTGAATCTGCTTGCTAAAGTAAAATTTGGTAGATTTGTAAGTAAGGGTTCTGCCTTTTGTATAAAGTGCTATATGTTAGTGATATACACATATAAATATCCCACCAGGTATAAGCACACGTGGGGCCTGGTTTTTCTGTACTGATTACCATTAATCTATTCCTTATGTCACTTTCCATTGCTGTGGCATGGCCTGTGGAAACAAGATAGGTGTGTGCCTGGAATAAACATATTTTTCCTTTTCTGAAAGCCGTGCGAGTTCTACAGCACATTACATCCTTCTGTGTAATGGAAGGACCCACACATGGGCAATCGCTGTCTACAGACGT